TAAAAACTGTTAAAATATGAGTGGCCAACTGGCCCAGCCACATGGCCGCAGTCGTATATTTTACACACAAATGACTTCATCACGAACTAAACTTAAACTAGAGCTTTGCTCAAATCTCGCTGCAGCTAAAGGAATTGAACTGACACAGAGTGAGAGAGATATATATATTTATTTTTATATATATATATATATATATTTATATTTATATATATATATATATATATATATATATATATATATATATAGAGAGAGAGAGAGAGAGAGATCCTGCCTCTTAACGTGGCACATTAACACTTTAACGTGCCATAATTACCCAGAGCACACAACTAGGCAAATAAAATCATGTACACGCGTAAAAATGTCAGCCAATGCCTTTTTAAAAGTCAGCGAGCAAGTTAATTGTCCGCTCAAGGTAGCCAAGGGACAGTCAGGCATTGAGGCAAGGTACGGCCAGGGGCAGCTGCAGTCAAGACAGCGACAACAGCAAAAATCATCATCATCGTCGTCATCCTCATCCTCAACCTCATTTGAGTTGGAGTTGGAGCCCTGACAAAGTTGTAAGTTGTTGATGTTCCTTTGGTTGTTAATGTGGCTCGCATTGTTGCTGAGGCCATTTTAATGCGTCTGACAACGATTCACTGACACAGTGGGGCGCAGCCTGATTTTTATGGGAAGTTTCTTTGCAAAAAAACGATCAAAAACTGTTTTCTAAATAGCCGCTGGGCTCAGCGGACAGTAAAGTTACGTTATTATATGATAACTGAACTTTCTTTTAAGAAGATAAATTATTAATGTTATTAAAATACTAATCATATGTATCTCTAGAATGAGTACTATTCTTAATCATTTTTACTAATTTCTGTTTTTAAATATTCTAAGTTGCCGTCTCATTTTCAAGCATGAGTACTATTGAGTACTCATTATGAATATACTTAATGGAAGTCTAGTATTCTAATGTTTCTCGCTTCCTCGGGTATTATAGATACTCCATATGCTTCACGTATAAGTATTACCGATTTTAATACATAAAAGAACTCAAGCTGATTATGAGTGCTCTGTTAATTAAATGCTCATCCCGTACTCGCATATGAATATTATTGAAACTTATTATGCTTATGACTACATAAGTCTTATATTCGAGTATGCGTATAGCCGAGGTTCATACCTAAAAGAACTTGTTTTGCTCAGGAGTAGTCAAGTACCCTAATGTTCGCCTAGACTCCTCTTATGAGTTTACCGATACTCATTCTGCTAATGTGTTCTTTAGTATATGCACCATACTGTTCGTCTCGTCTTCGCATATGGGTATTTAACCAGGTTCAAACATAAAAGTACTTATTTTGTCTTTGAGTACTTGAAGTAGTCACAGTCCAGCAGGCAGACTACTTAAAAGTATATTTTCCGACACTATGCTCATATACCTTATTGATCTGATGACCAGGGCAAGTTCCGAAAAGTGTTCAGTTAAAAGGCCGTTAATATTCGAGTCTTATGCAAAAGCTGTTTGTCCAAATTGAACCATAGTACAGCGCATAATTACAATTCCACACCTCGAAGCAGGCATCAAAATTGAGCGAAGAGCAGCTACGCGTCAGGAGCAACGCATCGCTAATGCCAGATCGTCAGATCGTTAAGTGAATTCATATAAAAATTCCTTAAATGTCGCATTATGACAAAATGATCGTTTAAGAGGCGCAGCAAAACGGGAGGAGCGCTTGAAAGACCAGCGGGCCGTCAGACAAGCCCAAACAACATGATTTTTATGAAGAACTTTGTCGACGACAAGCAGCAAACAAAAAATGTTAACTGGAGCCTGTTTGGGGCTAGGCCGGCGGTAGGTATAGTTGCACAGAGTGGGGGGAGGGCTGCGTGATAAAAATGCTTAGCACACGGCACATTTTGTAAACATGGACAACATGACTGTGGAGTAAAAAAAAAAGAAAGAAAAGGCCAAGGGCAAAGGCAGAAACTCTCGATTCCGATACCAAACTAACGATTCTCAACTTTAGCTCTGTCACAATTTTTGTGTTTCATTTTTTGTTCTTCGTTTTATTTTTTTTGTTTTTTTCAAAAATATTCCGCATTATTTTCGTAACGTTCGCAGCTTCGGCAAAAGTCAGAGGCTCGAATCACGAACATTTTGTGTCGTCGCCTCTTCCATTCAAAATCCCTTTCTGCTCTGTTTGCCATTTTTTGTTGTTATTTTTTTCCAAGTTTTATGCAATTTTTGCTTTTATTTTTGGCATTTCTGTGGCTTTTGGTCATGAATCATGATTTATTTGTTTTTTTTTTCGCTTCTTTAACTTTTCGACTGCTGCGCAGGACATTTTCACTTTGTTGTTGTTGTTGATGTTGGCTGCTGCTGCTGCTGCTGTATAAGCCAAGTTTGGTATTTAGACGGGCGGCGACAAAAATGGCTTAGTTTGTTGCACACGTTTTGTTTAGCTACCACCAGCAGCAACAGCAGCAGCACTTGGTGGGAACTTTGTCCCACCATCCACTGCAATTGTTGTAGTTGTCTGCCTGTCTGCTAGTTGTTGCTGTTGCTGTCGTACTATGCCGGCTGCCGGCATAAATATAACCACATCCACAGTAGGTTCTGCATGTATTTTGCCAGTCGTGATTTGAAGTTGATTTTGTGCCACAATTGTACAACTTTTTAAAGGCCCAAGCCCAACGCACGATACCAAATTTAAATATTTAGAAATAAAAAGGAGTTCCTTAAATGTTGTTCAGTGGTTGAGACTCAGGTGAATCGGTATGCGAAGGAAAATATTTCTATAGGTATGTACAAGCATATTATAATGATTGGTCATAGATATCTAAATAGTTGCTAAGTATTCGCGAAAGGAACTACGAAAAACTCATAGTACAATTCTAAAAATTCTATAAAAGTTAAATATTCTTCAATGACAAAACTGTATAAATATTATAACAAATTATAAGCTACCATTAAACCGCAAAAAATAAAGCTTCTAGCTGAGTGAACTGAAATCGATTAAGTTTATTTAAATAACTTTAATGGATTTAACTATGTCAAGCCTATTCGGGCTTGATGACCAACGCAGCGCTTTGAAGCTATGTTTAATTGCATATATTATGTGATATCACAGGAATGTCGGCTCTCGAATTGCCTTTTGCCAAGAGAGTGACGGCAATTATATAATTTTCACATTTATTAATTGATTGAAATTCAATTCGTTCATTGATTCGTGCGTCCTTTTCGCCAGAGTCCTGTTTAATAGCCTCGAGCATATTTCACGCTCGTTTTGCCTGCCGCTTTTTTGCAGCCTTTATTTTTTCCCCATTTATTTTACAATTTTTTTTTTTTTTTTTTGTATTTGTTGTAAGCATTAAACCGGATATTGTCAGCTTTGCTGAGGCGTGTGGGCCAAGTTAATTTGCCACGCCCTGCAATGCCCATTTGAACAGTTGTCAAACGAACTGAACGAGTTTTAATTAGGTGATGCAAAAAATTGAATTATATTCGTATTTTTCGTTACTTCCAGTCGGAAATTAAAGACATACTTGTACTTATTCGTATTCGTACTCTATACAGTTAAAACGAAATAGAACACTGACTCTCAGTTTTTGCAAAATATTGTATTTATTTTCGGCCCAAGGAGCCTGCAGAAAAATTTTTACAAATGCTTTTTTATATGGCACGTGAATCCGATACATTAAAAAAAAAACTCACATATTTTATTCTCAGCATAGAAAAAATATATTCACAAGGGTATTTAATGTTGAGCAAAGAGAAAATTACTAATCTTTCTGGTTTTCAAGCCAATCAACGGCGGAACAATTGCAGGGGCTCCGAGAGAAGTTACCTGGCTTCTGCGTGGGCAAGCCAATGGGCTTGTTTCAGGCAGGTTTCAGGCGATATTAATGCAAAAATCATAGGAAATTAATTTAGACTTGAAAAGAAAAAATATTGCCTGTTTCTGAAGCTCTTTATTCCTTTTTAAGTTTGTGAAGGCAACCAATTGCATTTGCCCGATTTTTCTTTGAACATTTTTTATGCGAGCTGCGGCAAGGGCAACTGCCATTGCATATGTTTGGATACGTGCGCTTTGCCACGCCTCCCTGCCCACATTTCCCCTGCGCCGAGTTTCAATTAAAGCCACACAATTTGAGGCACTTGCACTTTAAGAATTGCATTAAGATTCGTTTGGCTAGGTTTTGCTTGGCTGCTCAGGCAAAACTTCCGTGTACAGAATTGACTCTGGAGCTGAGACGGAGACTGGGACTGGGATTGGAACTAAGACTGGGACTGGGTACTGGGTACTGGCTCTACGTGCCTGGATTATATTCTAGGGCCAAAGAGCCATTCGCAGTTGTAGTTGCAAGCGCAATAAAAATTATGTTATGCATTTCACGTGCAACAAGTTGAAATCATAACAAGCCCAAGTTGCACTAAGAAAAATACTTTTATAACGGAAATGCAATGAAAATATTGAAAGAGCCGTTGTAGAAATTGAAAAGCAAACATTTTTTCAAATCCTTTGGGTGAATGTGTGTGTTGTGTATGTGTATGTTTGTGTGTGTGTGTGTGTGAATGAGTTAACAAGAGACAAATACATTTCCTGCTACAATTCCAGTTTGTAGTTGAAGTTGCACAGTTGTTATTGTTGCTGTTAAATTGAGGTGGACACCAAGTTAAAAAAAGCCTTTTGGTTTTTTTGCAGCAGTTGAGGTTAGGTATTGTTTGAGGTTAGGTGATGTTTAACGGTTAGGTGTGTTTTTGTGGTTAGGTTCTGTTTGGGGTTGTGCTATTATTGCTTTAATAAATGTAATAGCAGATAGACTATTTAATTTAAGTTGGTGAAATAAGTAAGGCTGGAGAAATATTTGGCTTGTTGTCTTAAAAATCATTAACACTGTATTCCAGTTAGGATAACACATAACATATAACATAAGCTACAAATAGATTAACTTTAAATTGATTAAGTATAAATATGCTCTATTAGCCGGTGCTGTTAGTAGTAGGCTCATAGTTTTTAGATGAGATATAGTTTTCAAAATCTGGAATGAAACCAAATAAATTGCTGGGAAACGAGTCAGAGTAGTTCAAGCCTAATTCTGGCAGGGAGTATAAGGAGGGTGAGGGTGAGTAGACTACCCGAAGCAAACTGCTAGGAAACGAGGCAAAGTAGTTCAGACGTAGGCTTGGAAAGGGGTAGCTTAAGTGAACTAGACTAGCCGCAAGATGGCCATGACCGATAAACTGCAGATATTTCCATCTCGGGCCAATGCGGTGTTAATGAAGCAAAAGATTGGGGCCGCTAAGCGTGGCATGGGTCTGCTGAAACGTAAGCGTGATGCGATCGATCTAAAGCTGCGCGAGCTCAAAAGCCAAATGTCCGATAAGGAGGAGCAAGTGGATAATATGATGCGCACGGCCATTTTCTCGGTGGCCAAGGCTAATCTGTTGGGCACGGACTTCAAGCCCGTGATAGTGGCCGACAGTCGTGTTGCAACTGCATTTCTACGGCGGCGCCAACAGAAGATTGTGGGCATCACGATGAACTACTTTGAACTGAAGGTGAACGAACAGGGCGCCTTTCCGCTGGCAGGGCTCAGCTGTGGGGGCCAGCAGGTCCAGAAGGTGCGCAAGTACTTTCAAATGGCGCTAAAAGAGATCGTCGAATACGCATCGCTGGAGTACATGTTGCGCTTGATGCTGCAGGCCTCGCATCAGACCAACATGCGTGTGAACGCTCTGGACTACGTGGTCATACCCCGGCTGATCAACACTTCCAACTACATCGACGGCGAGCTGGAGGAGTTCGAACGTGAGGATTTCTATAGACTCAAACGTTCGCAGGCCAAGCAACTAGAGGCCAAGATTGCCTTCTCAGAGCTAATCAAGACCAAGAATATGACGAAGGAGGAGCTGGCTGCTTTTATCAAGCGCGGCGGTCACTTGCATCCTGTCGCCGATGTGGGTTTCGATTCCAACGAATTTGAAAATGAAACCGTGGAGGACCGTTTGCGTAAGGCTTACCTGCAGCGCCACTCTCACCATCGCATTCCATTGAAACGTGGAGAGGAACTACCGCCACCGGATCCTCACGCCGCTGTCTTCTTGCAGCGCACAGTTATGCGTGATCCCCGCTCAAGCAAAGCCAGTTTCATCTCCCTGCGTGCACGCACCAATATACCGAAGCAGCCAAGCTCATCCACATCCAGCGAAAGTGACCCATAAGTTTATTCCCTACTTTATAATGATTAGTTATGCTACTCACAAATGAATCATTAAATCAATAGCGATTCATAGAGAATTGTTTCATTAGCTTAACATTGTCAAATAGCAAAGGAGATATGTCCGACCATAGGGTCGGTGAACATATTCTTGAAAAGAAAGGAATAGGCATAGGTCCATCGCTCATATGTTCTTAGTTTTACCTTGCGCCTTATATACACGCCTTATAAACACAGCCCATATCTTATCACCATTGCAGTTATTTATTATTTTCTGGAAAATGGTTCTGTTCAACAAATATAACAAATATAAGCTCCGCAATTTTTCTCACATATCTGCAAGACGGTAAGAGAAATGTCTAGAAGGGTAATTGGGCTTGCCGAAGATGGCTTTCCGATCTGTAATATTATTATTACTATCAAAATTTAACTTAGTACTTGGGACCAGGCAAAAAACTGACTTAAATAATCCCATCTTTAAAATTCTAGAGTTTAAGTTTTAGGTCTTCACTAATCCTAAGATATATTACATATCTATACCATAAGTTAGCTGTTTGACACGATAAGTATTTACTGATCCTTTTTCACATACGCATAGGCATGAGATCAGTTCAGTGTATCATTTTGTGTGGCCATAAATATAATTTCATGACAAATAGATGGCCAAAAGCGGCAACTCTACAGTTTATATTGCCTTTTAGGAGTTGAGTTGCTCGTTAGCCATCATTTCACCTGCAATTGAAGTTGGCCAACTATGCGGCTCTCACATGCTGCGACACGGAGGGGAGGGCAACGGCTGCAATCCATTGCAAGTGCGTCTTTTGTGTTGACAAATGCATATTACAAAATGCAACTGGCCATAATAAAGGACGTCTATTACGACACATCAGAGAGGAGCAGACGTATGGAGGGGTTCGAGGCAGAAAAAATAAAATACACACACACAAACTCATAACACAAATACTGTAAGCATGCAGCACTTTTTGCTCTTGTTGCTGTTGTAAAGACTGCAATACAAAGGCCAAAGCAACAACAGCAGCTTGCAACAACAACGACAACAACTTGCAACGTGCGCTGCGGTAAACTCACGTGTTAGAGAACACAAAACAAAATACCAGCAACAACACAGGCAACGGCAACAAAGCAGGCGCAATGCTGAAAAAAAAACCAAATACATATAAAATGCTGCAACAATTGGCAGCAACAACAATGAGACAACAGCAATAGCAACAGCAGCACCGACAAGAGCTTGCAGCATCCACAGCGCTGGGGCAGCAACGGTAGCTCCAAATAATAAAAGGATGATAGTCAAAGTTTAATGACAGTTCAAATGATGTTGCCGCCGCAGTCAACGTCGGCAGCGCAGTTGGCGCTGCTGCTATTGACGCTGCTGATGCTGATGTTGCTGCATTGCTGCACTTTGCAATGTGGCGCAACAAACAAATGCATGAGGTTGTACACAAAAAATATCGGTTGCTACAACTATCACAGCAGCTTTGTATAGCGAATAATATTAGATTTAATAATAATAAAAGTAATTATTCTTTAATTAAAAATAATTTAACTTAAAACTATCTCAAATCCTAATTAAGCATTTTGAATCAAATCTTATATATTAAATTTATTCCCGAATTTACCTCAACATTTTATGTATAATAAATAATAAAATTATTGCCCTTGTTAAAATGATATTGTGCTAACAATACAAATTTTTTAAGTTTAACTCAAAATTTAATTCATAATAAATAACATATTTATGGTTGTTGTTAAAATTCCATAAATTGGCTGGATACAAAAACCAACCAGCTTTGTATAGCAAATAAATAATATTTTTTTTAATTAACCTCAAATATTTGTTTAAAATTATTTACAAATTATTTAGAAATTTTAAGATCACATTTAACTTACAAGAAATAAAAATATTATTCTCAATGCAAAAATCATATGTATTTATTTATTAAAGAGTAAAAGAGCTTCGTTGTAATATTATTTTTTTCATTTTTTGCATGTATGATTCGATTCCCTTTTATACCCTGAACCCATTAAAAATGGGTATAAGGGTATATTGTATTTGTGCAAGATTCAAAATGTATGTAACAGGCAGAAGTAAGCTTCTCCGACCCCATAAAGTACATATATTCTTGATCAGCATCAATAGCCGAGTCGATCTAGCCATGTCCGTCTGTCTGTCCGTCCGTCGTCCGTCCGTATGTATGAACGCAAGGATCTCAGAACCTATAAGAGCTAGAGATTTAAAATTTAAAATGTAGACGCTCCTAGTTCCCGCGCAGATCGAGTTTGATTCCGGTAATCGATAACTTCCTCCGTTTTCAAGCAATCGATAAAAATCTATATTGATATCCTGTTTTTGGGGTATTTTGGTAAATAAAAAGAGCTAGAGTCAGCACACTTGACATATAGCTTCTAAAATAGAATATATATATATATATTTATATATATATTTGATGTTGGAAGAAGAGGGTTCAGGGTATCCCCTAGTCGGGAGCTCCCGACTAGAACCTCTTACTTGTTCTGTTTTTTGTTTGTTTTTTTTTTTTTTCATACATTTTTTCCGTGTGCGCTGTGTTGCCATTGATATTATTATGATGGTTGCAGGCACAGGCGCAGGCACATGCAACATGATGTTGCAACATGCGCTTCAACATAATAAATTTTTATGCATGATTTCTCACATTGCATGTGATGGCTGCCACTTGATGTGCCTGCTGATGCTGATGGTCCTGCCGCTGCCCCTGCCCTTGGCGCATGGGGCGTATACGCGCATTCGGGAACCCAGCGAATGAGAAATGTGCATTTTAAATATTAAAGTAATTTATGCCAAACATATAAATAAAGCACAAATCGTTAAATATTAAACAGGCAGACTTTAAAAATGAAATTGCACAAAAGCAAGCATTTTATAGATTTCATTTTAGTTGGTTCTTGTGTCCAAATTTGCGATTAGTTTCTCGCATCCATTTTTCATATATTCTGCAATAGAAGTCATTAAAGCACTAAAAATGACAACACAAAATAGAAGAGTGCCTGTGCCCTGGTGCAACAAGATCAAAAGGCCAGACAGGGACATAAAATGGGAAACGCAGATGCGCTACACAAAATCATTCCGAGATTTAACAGTGGGCGAAAATGAAGAAAAAGTGAATTCAAACGAGTGCAATTCAATAAATCTCAGATACATAAAGACTTTGTATCGATATTTGCACATACTTTTTACAGATATACCAGTTTATTAAAAAAGAAAACTGGAATAATAACTTATCGACAGTTTCGATAGCAGCGCAATTAAACAACTCTCTTATATTAGTCGCCCGATTTGCGCTCAGTCAACCATGGTGCAGATGGGCCAAGCAACTAATCTCTGACAGCTCGTTATGCCAAATGCTAAAACCAATGTCTGAGCATCACAGAGCAGGCTTCCCAGCGCCCCAGCCAATAACTACATCATCATTTGTCGGCGACTCTTTTAAGGGAACTGGGTTGGCGTCTGAAACAGGGTAGAGACGCGGAAAGGGAACCTGCTTGTACAATCAAAACACTCATAGACTTCTAGAGCTTGTACACATGGTAAAATGATTTAAGAGCTCATGCCGCTGCGATCATAATGCGGATGTGAATAAATGCTGATCGTGTATGGCCAGAGCCAGAGACAGAGCCATTATAAATCGCCTGGCACTTGTGCATTATGCCGCTCAATCAGCCTGTTCCCAAAAACCCCCCAACTGCCAGCTGTATTCCTGGTTGGTTGGAATCATTGTGCAGCATTTTAATTGCAAAATCACATTAGCATAAATTTGTTAAAAACATTTTCAAGTGAAGTTATGGTAGAGCAGCACTGTGCCCAGCACTGGGCCAGAGCACAATGACATTAATAAGCAATTACAAAACAGAAAATAGCAACTGCAAATTACTTCAAAAGGCTAAAAGCGTATGAGCTGAGCGGGCAGGCACCCCCAGTCAGCCAGACAGACAGCCAGTCAGATTGTGTCCTCCTCTGTGGGCAGCATACCTCCCTCTCTCTCTCGCTTTTTAGTTTATCATCATCATCATACTTTATATAGAGACGAAGGCCTGCGTTGGCCCAGCTGTCATACGTCTTCATAGTGGCTGTGATGGCAAAATGACCCCCAGTTACGAGTAGATCGCATTGCAATATGCTATGGCCTGTTGTCCCCTGTGTTAAACGGGCTGGGCATGTATATTAGTTTCAGTTGTTGTATATATGCTCAAGTTGGTATCGCACTACAGACGAACTGTATCTATATCGAAATCTGTATTTTCATCAGTTTACCCCCAAAAAATTGTTTATACATTCTAATCTAAAATTAAAAAAAAAAAAATTGTTTCATTTTCTTTTTGTTTGTTTTTCAATTTTGCAGTTATAATCGTGAAATCAGTGTCTGTAGCTGTGGCTGCACAGCAGACATTCGACACAGGGTAACTCGCAGCCGTGCGCTGCCAACAGCAAAGTTTTTGTTTGTTGTATATGTGCCTGTATCTGAATATCTATATCTGTATCTGTATCTGTATCTGCTGCTCTATCTGTATATGTGGCTCCGTTAGCTGACATTGCACTGTTATTGCTTCAAGTGGCTTCATTCATTCACTGCAGTCTCTGTCTGCTCTCTGTCTTTGCCGCTAGAAAAAAGCAAAATCTGACGCCGCGGCACGTCAGGCACGACAATGAGCTGACTGTTTAATGTCCTAGCAACAGAACCTAGTCCCTTTGCCATACTCTCCTCCTACTGCTCTTCTGGCTAGTCTGGCAAAAACAAGAGCAACCTTTATTAGCAAAAAGTTTTGTCTGTCTAAGCCAAGAGAAAGCGCCGCTGGCTGTGTTTTGTCCAATAGACGAAAAGGGTTTTTATTTATTAGCCAACTGAGTTGTCGTCTGTGACTATTGCTATCTTTGGCGTATCAGGGAGGGGGGTCATGAGCAGATTAGGCAAAGACAAGGCACAACTCAACTGCTGTGTGGGCAGTGGAGCTGACAGAGAGAATATTGTCGGCTTAGCTTGACATTAGTAAGAGAACTAAAAGCTGGCAAAA